GAGAGAGAACTCTTGGGGAACAGCCTCAATTTTTTTTTGTTTGTTTTTTTTGTTTGTTTGTTTGTTTTGGCTAGGCAATAGGGTTAAGTGACTTGCCCACGGTCACACAGCTAGTAAGTGTTATGTGTCTGAGGTCACATTTGAACTCAGGTCCTCCTGAATCCAGGGCTGGTGCTCTATCCACTGTATCACCTAGCTGTCCCTCAATTTTTTCTGTAAAATATGAGGCAGGGGCTCAGCTGAGAGGGGGAGGAAGGGGAGCCACAGGAGGTTTAAGGAGAGATGAGGTTCTTAAGAGCCACTGAGGAGGGTGAGAGAGTGAGCTGGTGAGGGAGGTGTAGGAGGGCTGCTGAGCTGCACCGAGGACCCAGGAACATACATCGGTAGTGGACCCAGCCCGAATGGCTGCATGACTTTTTCCACCTTCGTTCAGCAGCATGTTTAAGAGTGATCCAAAGCTGAGGCTCAGCTGGGCATAATCGGGGACATAATGGGGTGAGGGATTCAAGAGAAGAGGATGGGGTAGAATTGAATTGGAGAGAGCAGCAAGGACAGGGGAGATGGCCTGGGAGAGAACTGAGGGGTCCAGGGGTGGAGATGAATCGATGATTAACTTGTGAAAGTATGAAATGGGGGCAGGTATGCCCAGTTCTTTGGGTACTTGCCAGGAAAACCATGAATGGCAACAAGAAACAGGACAGCAATCACACATGCCTTTAATCAGGCACAGAGAAAAGTGGTGAAAAGTGGGCAGGGAGACAGAGGCTGGACAGAGGGATGGTGAAGGAAGTCAGGTATCATGGGGAGAGGGAGAAGCAGAGGGCATCACTCCCATCCATCACTGTGGATCAGGAGCGTTGGGAGCACTGTGCAGCATGGACCCCACGGACGTGGAAAAGGGCTGGGAGGCAGGAGTTTGAGGTCTCATTTTTACAGGGTCTTGTGGGGAAACAGATCAGCTGCTCTCTGCACCACCTCAGGCTTACTTCAGGAATGCATCCAAATCCCCTCCAAGTTATCAGTAAAACTTCCAAGTTCTCCGCACCTTTCTATGCTCTGCTGGTCTGGAGCCGGGGACACATTTACATAGCATAGGACAAGACGCCTTGACAGTCAGTACCCAGATGGTTTTTCCTTATTTGGCACATGTTACCAGGATGTGAATTTTGGTTAATATAGGGTACAATTTGTACATTATGCTAGTTTGTTCATGACTTCCAGGTTCCCCTTTGCAATCTTATTTCCTGCTAAAATTTACTAGAAGGGGACTGGAAGGGCAGGGGGTGCTAAGGGGGACCAGAACAAGATACAATTTTCATACTAGAGGTCACGGTGCAGATGAAGAGTAGGGTAAGCAATTAGGGCTGGATAAGGGGGTTTCAGAATTCTCGAACCTGCAGGTGCTACATTCATGTGTAATAACCATCTCCGTGGCTGAGGCAGGGTGGAGGAGGAGCTCATGGGAGGTGAGCAGGTTGAGAGTGAGGGTTAGGATGGCTGGGGTGTCTGACATTAGGATCAGTGGTTAAGGTGAGAGGGATAGGCATTAAGTAGGGGAGGGAACAAGCATGTGTAGCATCCCTACTATGTGCGCAGGCACTGTGCTAAGCACTTGAGGAACATCTCATTCCATGCGTGACCAGAGAGGCCGTCGATTTCAAGTTCCCTCTTCTTCCCTCCACTCTTCCTCACACATCGCCCATTCTCTCCTCTGTGGCTCTAAAGCCACCATGCCCTGAGTCTGAGGGTAAACAGGCCCAATGGCCACCCTCCTGTGGACACTCCCAGCTGCTCAGTCTTCCTCCTCAACCCTTTGGATGCCCAGAACTGGACCCATCGTACTCCAGAGAGCCTCTAAACACGCCAGAGATTGGCAGAACCGTGACTTTCTGCTTCTCACGTTTGCTGCTGCTACTCCGTTTCCTTTTGCTACGCGGGTGTCTGAAGTATCACCCAATGACAATCATTTCTATTTCTCCTCTCATGGATTCCCCCAGTCAGGCTTCCCACACGTAGGACACCTTCTTCCTGTACATGGTGATCTCACTTCCACTTGGATGCATCTTGGGTCTTCTGACTCTAGCCACCCAGATCCATATCCGGTCTGGGGGCAGTTTCTAGGTCAAGAAGAGGCTTGAGTCTGAACTTAAGCTCTTAAGAGTTCACCTTTTCCTTCCTTTTCTGTTCTCAGTGATCCACTTTTGTTTACATCTAATGAGTAAAGACAACACCGGAGGAGGTCAGGGAGGATGCCAATACCCAAGCCAACGAGCAGGGGCATCCAGGGAAGTTCTAAGAGCCCCTAGTGAAGCCAGAGAGAAATGAAGAGGGGCTGTCCTGAGCCCCACCTCAGAACGGAGACCCCTGGAGGAACTCACTGATGGGAAAAGGGAGGAAGGGTCCAGGGTGAGATGGCAGGGGAGGGAGATGGGTGCTGAAGCCCAGTGGGCAGAGCCAAGAGCAATGAGGGGAAATTGCACAGTCCAATTTAAGCTGAAGGGGAGGTTGCTTGGGGCAGGGCACCCCCTGCCTGGAGATTTAACAGAAGGAGGATGACCCCTTGTTGTGGCAGCTGGACTCAAGGCTCCGCTGGGAATCCGCCCTCTCTCTGAGTCCTCCCTCTCCTGAGGACCTTCCTCCTTCTTGATTCTCCTCCTCCTCCTCCTCTCCTTTCAGGGTCTCCTCACAGAAGTTGGAAGTCAAACCTGAACCTAGAGATTATTCCCATTCCTCAGTGTCTCCTCCAAAACCCTGCCTCCAGCCCAGCCACACGATGCTCTTCTCCTCAGCGCTCCTCCAACTTGCACATTCCCCCCTCCCTCCCTGCTGTTTCTTTTCTCCTTCCCCATCAGACCTACAAGCCCATCCAGGTTTCGTTCCTTGACCCAGCCCTTCCCTCAAAGGCCCAATTTCGCCTTCAAAGGTCCAATTTATGTTGAAGACACCACTGTCCTTCAAGTCACCTTGAGTTTGAAACACATGGTCCTGGGGGTCCCTTCCCCCAAAAAAGGGCTCTGGCTCTGGACACTGCACACTGAGTGCATCCACTGGGGAGCCTGACCTCTAAAAGCTCCAGGGGGATGTCGGGCTGCTCTTCTACTTTGTTGGAGGGGTCCATAGCGATGGGGCGCTAATGATGGACCCCTAAGAGGCCCTGGACTTTCCCATGGCCCAGGTCCCTGGCATTCGCCTGAGGCTATGATCCTTTCAACTGTCCTTGCATTGTGGCTGTGACCCTGCTCCAAACTCTAATTCTGTTCCCTCTAACTTAGCCCAACCCTTCATCGTCTGTTACCTCCAGATCACCGCTGACCAAGTCCCACCTTCAATTAGCCCCCTTCCAAGTGGCCCAGGTCCCTAGCATTTGCCTGGGGCACTCAGTCCTTCCAGGTCCTTCTCTGTTCCCTCTCAGTTACCCAAGCTATTGGTCACTCCTTGATCACATCCAGATCTTCCCACAGTCTCTGTATATGAGTCCATCTTGCCCCCCATTAGATTACAGAGTCCTCATTACAAAGGCTCAGATTCTTAAAACCTGGCCAGTGGCACAGACTCACTAGGAACCTTGCTCACCTCAACTGGTGTGCTAATAAACCGGGTCTTAGGCTGAAAGAAGGCTTAGATCCAATTCATTCGAGGACCTGCATCACTTGTCCTTGAATTTTGGGGTTCCCTTCACCCCTAGACCTCAACAACTGTGCCTCTACTGCAGCGTAGAAATTTGAGGACATTCTTTAAAACAAAGTTCAGACCGGAGTCGTGATAAACGAGATCCCTTCCAGAAAAGGGTCTCAGTACACAAAATATCAGGTAAGGGATTATTTGTTTCCTCCACTAGAAAAGATTCTTAGGTATAAATGAACACAAGGGTAGAACATACTGTAAGGCCAACTCGGGGGCCTTGCCTTTGTCTTCTACCCAGCCAGCCTCGGCTTGGGCTTCCATAGACCTTGTGGTTCCTGAAGGAATCACCACCTCCGGAGCCCAGGGCTCTCGGGCGTGACGTCACCACTGGAGATGGAAACAGCTACTCCACCAGCTTCCAATGGTCCAGCCTCAGGCTCGCCTAGGCAAGCCCGTGCTATGGCAGTCTTGGCATCCCGACCCCCACCCAGCCCCAACAGGAGGAATAGGGGAGGGAGAGTAAAGGTGGGGGGGGGGATTCCCGAGCCTGTCTCACATAACCCCGTTGGCCACAGCCCGCCTGTGGGTGCCCCCTCACCCTACTGGCCTTCTTGGCGGTGGGCCCTACCCCACCAGGGCAGGTGGGTCTTTCCTATTCTCCCACACAAGAGGCGTTCATTGGGTGGACCCGCCCCCCCATAGGCTCTTCCCTATTGGCTCCTTCCTGGTCCTCCTCCCCCCACTCATGTTTTCATCCCCACGTGAGTTTCTCACTCTGGCCATCCGGCTCATGACGCCCGCCCTCTTGGGGCCCTCCGCAGGCTCCCAGTTCCACGCAACCTGCTTTCATTGGTCTGCTCAACTGCCAGTCGCCCGACCACTTTACGCTCCCTGCTCTTATGGGTTCATTTTTCCAAGAGCTCGCCCTACGCCACCTGCTGATTGGCCACCCTGCCCTCCATTCATGCCTTTCCATCTCCAGTCACTGGATTCACTCAAGCCACTCTACCCACCTTTGATTGGCCCTGGACTCCCAGATCCCACCCCCTTAGCCTATTTCGCCCTCTGATTGGCTGCCACAATCATTCCCGTGCGAAAGTAATCTTTGTGTGGGATAGCTTCGGATTGGCCAAAGAGCGCGTCACGCAAGGGGCGGGGCGTCCTGTATCTAAGCTTCTCTGCGTTGGTCCATTTATGTCTAGGGCGGGACGAGTTCCACTCCTCTAGTGCCCATTGGCTAATCACCACCAAGGCGGGGGGAGGGCGTGTTCCCTTCTTGTTCGTGGATTGGCCAGCTGGCCGGGACGGGGGCGTGGCTCCGTTAAAGGTACAGGAGGCTGCAGGAGGCACCGGCCAGGGCAGCGGCAGCGGGGGCAGAGATGGCGCAGCGGGGCCTGGCGGCCGAGTTCTGGCAAGTGCCGGCGGTGACGCGCGCGTACACGGCGGCCTGCGTGCTGACCACCGCGGCAGTGGTGAGGCCCTGCCCCGGGGGTCCCTCACCCGAGACTGACCCCCCACTTCGCGACCCTCGCTCCCCCGAGCCCCGCGTGGCCCCCAACCTGCGGTTCTCACAGTTTCCTCCCCCATACTCCGGGTCTTCTCGTCCCCTCCCCCACAGTCCCTT